CCCCAGTGACCAGTCTGCACAAGGCCTGTATCACACGTGTATCTGTGCTGTATAGAGAGCTGGGAGACCCCAGCAGTGTCTGTCCAGCAGGGCTGTCCCAGTGCCGTGTGGCTGCCTGTGTTCGGCTCAATAAGTGATGAATCTGCACAAGGCCGTGCCGTGCTCGAGAATGTACCATACAACAAGCACGAGTGGGCTCGCTAGCAGAGCTCGCACACTTCCAGATGCCAGAGAACCAGCCTGGCAGAGCCCAGCGGTCACCAGCACCTCTAAGCCGTCACGGTATTTTCCCCCAGTCTATTGTGCAAGACGTGTCCAGAAATCACACTTCCTTACAACACGGGGAACAGAAAGATCACGGCAGCCTCTACTCTGGGTGGTAGAGCAGAATGTTGCTCATATTCATCCAATGACAGAATTCCTGCTCGCGGAGAGATCCTTGTGAAAACTCACCTTTCACTGTCGGGGGCCGACTGATCTGTATCGTCAGGGAGTCGCCTCCTGTCCAAGCAGACTCAGACTGAGGCCATATGGAAGTGAAATAATAAGTAATAATATTTCAGGAAGTGGAATTCATTCTGGCTGGGGCTGTACCTCACCCCCGTGATGTCAGATGAACTACAAGTGTCTGCCTGTATTTCTCCCGAACAGTTATCGGTATGGTAGAGGGGCTGTCCCAGTTCAAACCAACTAGATCCGGGACAATTCCCACCTCCATTCCTCTCTGCTCACATTCTGCGCAGGGTAGGTTCCAGGTCAGGCGTGACTCCAGGCTAGTCAGCCAGGCTGAGGGCCTTCTGACTTGAAATGTGTCTCCGGAGCAGTTCGGAGGACCCGAGTTTATCCATCCATCCATTTTCTAACTGCTTCATCTGGTACATGGTTGTGAGGGAGCTGGACCCTATCCCAGCAAGCGATGGGTGCAAGGCAGGGCGCACCCTGGATGGGACGCCACTCCATCACAGGGCAGACAGACACAAACAGGCTTGCATGCACTCACACCACAGCCAGTTTTCCCAGCAGCCAGTTCTCCCCCTAGCCCGTCTTCAGAGTAGCGTGAAGCTGGGAACATTTAGCAACAGAATGAACTAGAAGTGTTTGTTTCGCAAACAGACGAATTTCAAAGTCGAGTCCTCCAGCCGCAACAGTATCATGAGAAGAGCAAAGCAACATTAAGCAAGGCAGCTGGCTGCTAAGTCATTTCATCCAGGTTACTTGTAATTCCTTGAAAACTCTGCCAACTCTGTATAAAGCCTTTATTTCCTATTGCAGGTCACCTCCATCGATCCCTATGGTTGACAAATCTAAGCTTGGCAGTTTGAATTAATTCTGCAACATGTTTCTTTGATTTATACTCTTGGACATTGTCACTCCTTGAAAACTGGTTTTCTTGTACACTATTTTTTTCTATTCGATGCAAAGTGATCTGAGCTGTAAGCTTTTAAAGAAGCTGTAGAAAATATTTTGACTGCAATTAAAAAAACGTTTCTTGTACTTTGATACAATCACCATAATCACTGACAAACACAAACTTCATGTGAGAAGTTCCTTCTCCTTATTTTGGAGAGGGAGGGGTCTTTGATTTCCTGATCTCAATCATCACATCCCAGTCGTCATCACAGAAGAATTCTGCTTAATTCAATTCATTGTAATCTAATGAGATTCTGAACCACAGCTCACATGCCCTCCATTACCAATTGACAATCAGCTAGGAAACCACCGAGCCAATCAGTGATGAGTCTCACCTGCTGCTCTGACAAACTGGGGAGTGGATAAGCCTTTAAAAATGGAGGTTGGAATCAGGAAGCTGGTGCATTTCTCTTTGAGCTTCATAGTCTTTTCTGTCTCTGGACAAGTTGTCTTTGTATAAACAGGATTCTGGTGAGTTACACCTTGATCTATGGGAATGAGACCTGGCTGGGCTGGTGCTAAAGATTGTGATTCTGTGCAGTGCTCCACAAATATGGTGAGTCTGTTTCTTTACTTTGCGGTTTCTTTGTTTGGAGTTGTTTCTGTGTGCATGTTATCTCTTGATTATTCACATTCTGCAATATGGTCACTTTTTTTAATGCTTGTTTTGCAATTGAAAGCAAGTTAACCTTGGTTAAAACTCCTTTTTTCCATGCCAAGATCTCTGTAAGCACTGTTAAAGCTGATTGGTAATTTACAAGGGTGTAATCTGTGCCTCTGTCAAAGATGCTATTCAACTAGGGCTTGCAAAAAGTAGTGGATGCTATTCTCAAGACTACAAAACTGAGGTCCTTGTCCCCTACAAAACCAGATTCCATCCAATTAAAATAACTGACCCTTTTGATCCCTAAATACTATTTTATAAGGTTTGTGTCATTAAATTGCATTTGATGGAGTACTTTCATGGTGGTGGGTGCCATTACTGAGTTCTTGTTTGCCAAGTGGCCTGGTCGCCACAACCAGACAGTCTTTCCTGATGTTATGGCAGGCAAGAAAGTAAATACCCAGACTCCCTCGGACTCAAAATGGCTCTTCAAATGTTTTATACATGAATGACCACTCCTGTTTTGTTTTTGTTTTTTACACTGTGCTTACTGCAGGGGAATCTTGCCTATGAAGCCCTGGTGATGGCCATTACTGCATGCCAGAAGGGTGAGGGCAAATGCAGATGTTCTCCCAGGACTTCCTGCTGGAGTTCACATTCCTCAAACCACAGAGGCTGACTGCCTTCAGAAGAGCCACACAATCTGGAAAGGGCTGTCAGGCTTGTTCAAAGCCACTATGTGGCTATGGGTGAGCCACAAAAATAGCTCTTTAAAAGAACTTCTGTTTCAACAGCTGAAAACCTCCATTGATGATTTTCAATACTTTAGTGAACTATTGCAAGGGAAGGCTTTTTTTTTTATTAAATTCAAATGGGAATTTTTTTTTTTGCTGCAAATGTTATTGAGTTGAACCCATAGGGTGCTCTGGTGTTTCAAGTCCCATGGTTTTAGCAGTAGATGTTCCAAGAAACCCTATCTGAAAAGTGTGGCTACTGTGGTCATGAGTTGTGTAACATGACTAATCACTCTTGAAACCCAGAAATGTCTGACCATTTCAGGTTCTCTACAGAAGACGGGTAGACCATTCAGAAAACCTAAATGACAGGATTGAGAAGCAATGATGAACCCTAAAAGTTTTATATAATCTTTCAGTAAAGGCAGACCTATCTTTAGCTACTTTCAATTAAATGGGTATGGGCTCATCTGCTCTTCAAAAAAACTAAACTTGAACATTTAGTGGGTACTGAGAGAGTAACTGCACTTGGTTTTGAAACCTACAGCAGGAGTGGGGCTAAAACCAGGAAATGCAAAAAGATTTGTACAAATTATACAAGCTGCACCTTTTAAAATGGGCGTGTTTCACCAAATCAGGTATTGGATTGTGACATGTACCACCCCCAGCAGAGAGGAACGGAGGTGGGAGTTGTCCCAGATCTGGTTGGTTTGAACTGAGACAGCCCATCTACCATACTGATACCTGTATGGGAGAAATACATGCAGACACTTGTAGTTCATCTGACATCATGGGGGTGAGGTACAGCCCTAGCCACAATGAATTCTGCTTCCTGAAATATTATTTCCTTGCAGATAAGGAGGTTTTTCCTTCCCCCTTGGTGCTGTGCAGCATATTTTTATAAATCCAAAGCATAATCCAGATATTTAAAGCAGCAGAATACCTCTTGAGTATTTCAATAAACCGCAGTGGGGAAAAGATACAAAAGTTTAGGGTTGCTGGGGAGCCGGATTCTATCCCAGCAAACAATGGGTGCAAAGCAAGATATGCCCGGGATAGGATACCAGTCTGTCCCTGGACACACACAGGCACATACTCGCACCAGGGTCAGTTTTCCCAGAAGCCACTTAACCTACCAGTAGCTGGTATGACTGAAGGTGGTGGGGTTTATAAGCAGTTCTCTAGATTTGATCTGGAGGAATAAAACTTGATCCATTTCTGAAGGCTGGGCCTGGTTGAAGCTGTATATAATTCCTTATGAAAATGACTTTCCGCATGCTTTATTCCTACCACTAGGTGATGGTAGAGGGGATCCCCATTACCTGTAAAGCGCTTTGCGTGGACTGTCCAGAAAAGCGCAATATAAGTGTAAGGAATTTGTTAATTACGATCATTACTATTCAGGTGAGCCCTAGGGTTTAATCCTGAGGCTATTAAGATGTAGAGCTCCCTCGTGTGGTTAACGCCTGCAAGTCCAACAGTGAGGAGATGTGATTTGTCTCTGGGTTAATATTAACCAGTGCGTGGTAAAGTCCACAGTACACAGCGGAGATCAATTTTGCTTTTCTACTCGTTAGTCTCAACATGCTATAAAAAATATGACGAAGTATAACGGTATTCGCTGAACAATACTGCACATCGACGCGACGCTTTCACACAGACAATTGCGTTTACTATACAAATGTGCTAGACGTACAAGTGGCAATAACTGACAACGTATTAATCTATTCACCCGGACGGAGAGAAACAGAGCCATAAAGATGCCATTTGGAGTCGGACTGGTATTTTTAATACGTGGATGTAAAAAAAAAACAACGCAACCTTAAAGTATCCTCGAGTTTTTTTTTATAACAATGACACACCACACTACCACAGGAAAACTAATCCCACTATACTTAAGCATATTGGGTATTTAAGTAAAACTGTAGTAAACCACTGTTAACTACATGATGTTAATTAATTTTTTTTACTACATCAGTGAACTGCCATACCTTTATCATAGGTAACTTGCTGTGAACCACAAGACACTTTTACTCTTTGAAAATACCTTCCCCTGCACTCAAGGAGCGCCCGGTTCTGAAATTCAGTGTCAGACAGCAGACAGTCCAATATCTCGTAGCTAATTTTGCATGATGGGTAGGTATCAAAGATTCATACCTGTATCGGTTATTTGTGGCTGAGATTCTTGTGCAGAAGTGGAGATTTAAGCGTCTGCTTTACAATCAGTCTTGTCCGACTCCTCACCTAATAGCTGAAAAGTTGTGCAAACTTTCTTGTTAAATACCCGTACGGGCCGACCGAAAGCAGCACAGAGTTCCTGTGTGAAACACGTGGGAGGTAAAATCTCTTGCCATGGGAAGAGGCAGGGGCTCTTCTGCGCTGAATGTAGTTGCATCGATCAGTCCCCTCGCTAGGCCACACTTTGCAAAACGCCGACCCAAACGATTTGCTTTCACACGCTCAAAACGTCGACTCATTTTCCGAGTGGTCAGCAAAATACAGTGCTGAGTCTGTGTGTTGAGAAAAATGGAAAAACAAGTAAAATTATTGATTTTGACACATAAATCGGCTCCTGTTTGAGCAGATCACAAAGGATATTGCCTTCAGAGAATTTCCCCAGTGTAGAGTTTTGAAAAATATCTGCATTACATATACAAAAGAAGTTTTCTATACAAATGTATCTATAAAATACATGTTTTAAGCAGTGTCCCCATCACTGCTTAAATTAGGACTCGCATGGACCACAGGGTGAGCACCCACTCCTGGCCCTACGTACACCTCTTCCAGCAGCAACCTTAGTTCTTCCCAGGAGGTCTTCCATCCAGGTAATGACCAAGCTCACACCTGCTTAGCTTCAGTTGGTTGCTAGTTGTGATATGGCTACTGGCCAGTAATATAGCTGCTAGCTAGCTCTTGCGAAACTGCTCAGAAACAGGTTATCTACCGCAATCGACTCCAGATGAGCTTGACGTGCTGTTATGCATCTGTACCAACCACAAATACCATTGCTCCTTGCATTTTGTACCTCTTCCAGTCTGTGGAACTTGCCAGCGTCATTCTCTCCTTTCACCTTGAACACAGAACTGTTTCTCCAGCGTCTGTCTGCTGTGAGGGTCTTCAATCAGCCTCCACAACATAGCCGGGCAGCATGTTCCCCACTCCCACCACTCTGTGTGTAAAGTAGACCCTCCTGTCCTGACTGGAGGATCTCATCCAGCTGTTGCGTGAGAGAGGTCAGGGTATCGGCTTCAACAGTATGGCTGGCAGCCTGTTCCACCCTCCCACCACCCTTTGTGTAAAGAGCGTGCCCCCTGTTCTCAATTTGAAATGAACCTCCTTGGATGTTCTCTTAGAAATTATGTCCTCTGTGGTAAACGAGTATATATCTCGAGGAAATCTCCTGGTACCCCCCAATTCATTAGTCTAGGGGTTCCCAAAATACCATGGTTCTGACATTTTGTGAACAACCGAGAAGGACTTCAGAAGGTTCCACAGAATGTCTGCAAGAAGTAAAGAGCACACAGAGGTTCTGTAGGCTTCACGACAAGGTAAGGCTATACGTTCTGCACAGCAATAACACATTCGTTTTGTACAAATACAAGAAGAAAACTACTTCAGTTCCAGGGGTGTAAGAGCATACTTTGGCCACAACAGCGGTCCCGAGACTCACAATTAGATAACCTTCTCTCGCTGAACCTGTTTGCTTTTAAATCCAAAAGGTTTATTTTCCACCAGTGGAAGTGCGGGTGTACAACCCAGTATCTCCTCTCCGACAAAAACATCACAGCGTTAAGTCAGAATTCACAGCAGGTCCAATGTGAGCTCTCGTGATCGTAACCTCACGCTGGAGTGACAACGCACACAGGAACAGACCGAGAACAGACAGCTGAGCTCCGAAGAGGAGTCACGCTGACATTACAGAAGGAGCGCTTTGCAGAGCGGAAACCAGGCACGAAATAATCCTCACCCATAATACCGAGCTGCCCCCAACCCAACCCAAACCGGACAGCAAAGAGACTAACTCCTCTTGGATCCCTGCGCTACACACACATGACAGGACAGGCACGACACGGCACGGCACACACTCATACCAGGGCCGGTTACTGTATCTCAGAAGTCAATTAATGTCTGTAGATCTTATTTTGCTTTTATTTTTTGTTTTGTTTCATGTGAATTTCATTATTTTATTTGCTTTGGCAACACTGATTGTACCCATCGGTCATGCTAATAAAGCACCTTGAATTGAATTGATAACCCACCAGCATGTCTTTGGACTGTGAGAGGAAACGGGGCACCAGCGCGACCTGGAAGCAATGCTCGCCACTGCACCACCATGCCAAACCCCGCTTATTTCTGCTCAAAAAGCGATTCTTCCTTGTACGTCAATGATGAATTCAACCTAGAGCTCTAAGCGTAAAAAGGTCTAAAGAATTTTAAACCTATAAGCCAAAGCACGCAAGTGACTTCACTGACACCTATTACCACTTACAGTGCCGAATTTATTCGTAATATAATAAACCCTTCTGTTTACACCCTGTGATTATTGGTTCCCTAAAATCGTTTTTTACTTTAACTGTCCAATTACTTTCCTTACCTTTATTCTTCCTATTTACCCTTCATTTTGCACTTTACTATTACTCTGTTGATGTTTTCATGAAATCACTAGTGACATTGCTTGTGAAGTTAAAACAGATCAATGTAAACTCGTCTTTGGATAACACTACAACAAGCTCCAGACAATGTATCTATAAACTGTACTTATTCATTAATTGCTTATTTCCACTGACACATTAAAAGTGTTAATGAAAGAAAGTGCAGACTATTTTGATTTGTACTTGGACGTGCTGTTCTCGTACTAAATATTTCAGAGCCAATAGGAGCCGGAGAAGAGACTACAGAATGATGTCACAACACCACCGCCCACCCTCCCCGGTGCTGCATTCCGATTGGTTATCTTAACGGAGTCGTGTTCACTCATTGGCTGCGTGAACCGCCCCTTCCTGCTGAGCAACCGGAAGAGAAGCCGAATGGCATTGGCGGGAGTTTGACGCGTGCAGCAGGACTCGCAGGGGAATACGTAATCGCATTGAGTGAGTCAGGAGTAAAGAACAGCAAATTTTAGGACTGCCAAGAATTGCCACGGTCAACAGGGGTAAGTTTAAAATCTCTCGAGGTGTCTGATACAGCTATGTTTCGCAGTTTTTTGCTGAAACATGAGACGAATCGTGTATTGTGTACTGCGTGAGGCCCTTGGTGCGGTTTTTGTTTTAATAATTTCATTGTAAGTACTTTAGATAGACGAAAAAGAGTTTTAGAACTTGTCATTTTGCAGTAAAACTGTGATAAAAAACAAGAGCAGGCTATATGGTTAAATAGGAATTTTGCGACAAGAGTCCTACAGAACAGTAAGGCATTGCATTTATATACCGCTTTTAATATCAACTAATTCTCTATTGCTTTGTAAATAAGAAATGACCCACCTCATCCACCAATGAAGTGCAGCCTCCCCACGTGGGTGCCGAATTGTATTACTGTGCAGATCCTAGTGCAGTAGAACAGTCCAGTTACAATAGGAGCTACAGTCC